GTAAAAAACTTTAGTTGAATCTAATTCTTGTTTGTGCTGAATGATTATCAAATAGACACCATGATATTCATGTTTAAAGGGTGAAATCACTCTCGAAATTTTGGGGACGGAGAACTATTAATCAGCAGATCTCGAAAATGAATTCACTTAATGAAAAATCTTAAATATGATTTCTGTTTTGTTTCTTCGCGAAAAATAGTACAGTGCAAATGAAATTAGGGCAAGATTATAGCTGACGTATAGTTGAAAATATCACATTTTCGTTAGTATTTCCTGACAAAATTAAATTAAATTAAAATTAACTTTAAATCCAATCAAAATTAAATTTTCACAAAGGAGTACCATTTTTTGACAAAAATTCCCTCCTATAGACTACAAAGTGGATCTCGAAAACACACTTCCTCCCAATTTCCAGAAATTCCTATAAAGCGAGAAAAACTTGATACCTTCTCAACACAGTTATAGCATTTCATTTGACTTCTTACAGAGTTCGATCGATGAAATTACTCCGCAAGTTTCGTTCAAATCCACAAGCAGTTTATTCACGATATTCGGCAATTTTGGTCTCTGAGCCGCGTAAAGAGAGTCCTCTTGAATTTCTTCTTCCACTTGGAAACGTTTCACGCGACAGGAAACAGAGGCTTGCACCAAGCAATCGGATTACCGATTATTCTCCGCGGCATTTCCGTGCATAGCCTATAGTTTGCAAGCAATTAAGTGGGCCGCACGACAGTAAATACAAACCCTTGATTATACTCCATTTATCAATGCTGTGCTCTTAACCAGAACCCATCAAGTCGTAGGTGTGCTCTCAATTGGCTCACTGGATGCAGGATTACGGAGGCCATTAGGATGGCCAATTATGTCATCGGATCGTCCACGTTCTACGAATGTATCGATTCCGATTCGAGCGTATCTGATCGAGACGGTTATCTACGATCTTGTAGGAGCAATTTGTCCTTTTTCGACGTTCTACACAGTAGATTCATCTAAAGCGATATTTTTCGTTAGTCTTAGATTTTATATTTCGGTACGCTTAATTCTAGGGTCAGAATTCTTGCACAGTTTGTACGATGCACTTGTAATTTTTACTTAGACTTATTTCTGTACGAAGGATTCTCTTTTACGCTCTTTACGAAGCGTAGGAGTTGAAGGGAAGGAAGAGATGGCGAGATTAAAATGTAAGGAAGAAATGAAAACGCCATACTCGGTGAATTTTACAATATTGGTTCTGACGCTTTTATTATTTTGCGTTGTTCTATTTGTAGATCAAAGTTTCTATGCACTTTTGTAGAAGAAAGCTGGTATTTTTGAGCAAATAATACTGAGAATTTAATGGGTAAGTTCGAAGCTGTAATTAGAGATATCAGAGATGAGGAAAAATGATTTTTCGCTTGAAAACTTTTATCGCCGTATGATTCTGTTCGATAAAAGAAAATACTGTTTATTAGGCTCGTTGAATTCGCCTTAAAAAAAAAGATCGCAGGGTTATGAATAGAAAGGTTGAATTTGAGCTTGAAAAGTTATTTACGAAAATGGAGATTAGAGATATCAGAGTTGATGCAAAATCATTTTTCGTCTGAAAGCTTTTATTAAAAGAAAATATTGTTCATTAGGCTCGTTGAATTCGCCTTAAAAAGAAGATTGTAGGTTTATGAATAAAAAGGTTGAATTTGAGCTTGAAAAGTTATTTACGAAAAAGAGATGCTGAACGAATAGCCTTCTTTCCTCAATTTATAGGTTATGATAAATCTTAATTAATATAATTTATAAATCCTAATTTATGTAACCCGTAGGTTACGATAAATCCTTTCATTGAAATTTATAGGATAGGATAAATTTCAATTCGTATAATTTGTAAATCTCAATTTATGTGCCTTGTAGGTTTACGATAAATCTCAATTTGTATAACTTATAGGTTAGGATAAGTCTTTTTTTCTTTCTCGTGAAAAGGGAAGTTTGAGCAAATAGTGAGATGCTCCTGTTAATTTAGTCGAATTTTTTCTCATTCAGATGTAGGTAGGTACATTGAAAAGTGTGAAATTTCAATGAATTATTTTTACACTTTGTCAAATGTAAATTGTTTAAATCGAATGTAGGATTACGTTTATGCTAGATACACGAACGAAATGTAGTTCTTTCTACTTGGGTGGCTTAGAAGCTGCTCCGTTTCATCTTGCTGCAGCTTCGATCCATCAAATAAAGCCGTGTCGACGCAACCAATTTTCGCATCAGTGCCACTTCAAGATTCTCGATGCAAGAAGGCAATTTTATACCGGACGTCAGGCCATCTCTACGTGCACGGTACCGGCTGGCAAAATCGTGCGACACCTGACGAAAAAGAGCCTTTTAGTCGTGGATTATTTCTTCAATTTACTCCTCTGAAGGAACATCTGTTTCGACGACGAACAAACTGTAGTTTCTTAACTCAAGCTGAGAATATGAGTCGCTTAAGTGTATGCTACTTGATACTTAATATGGTACTCAATATAATATTTAATACTTACTATAATAATACTCAATATAAGATTTAATACTTACTATAATAATATTTAATTCTACTATATAATGCTGAATATGAGACTTAATATAATACTTAATGTAATTAATATAATACTCATTATAATGCTTCATATTTAATGCCTACTATAACAATACTCAATACAATATTTAATACTATTTACTATACAATACTTAATACCACTATACATTACTCAACATAAGAACACACGTAAATCATACATTTCTTCTTTGCATCTCTCAGAGTTACCTTAAAAATTCTTTTCTTCTTTTTGAAAATTTCGCGTCCTTCTACCTTTTTTGTAAACAATAATTTTGTGGAACGGCGCTCTTCATCTCGCTTCCTTTTCTTAGATTTCTAAGCTTCTTTTACAAGCTTTCAAATTCCTTATACCTTTTGCAAGCTTCTTCAATCCTTCGTTTTCATTTTTAATAAAGTTCGTCCCGTCTCGTGTAAGTTCAACAACTTTAAATATATATCTAGTCTTACACTTTCTATCTCCTTTACACTCGGAAAGAAAAGTAGCTACTTTTAATCTGTGAAGAACTTACTGTCGATAAAAGTTAAGTAAAATTATTCAAATTGGAAAATTTCACACAATTGTTTCCCTTTTGTTCGAACGATTTTTCGTGGTAC